TAAAGACTTACCATAGGTGTTATAAACTTAACACTTCTGTTTCAAAAAATGTTTTATGTTTAAACTGTGTGCGCGACGGCTTAGGGTTTATTGAGTATTATTAACAATAAATATAGATAAAAGACAACAAACACATAATAAATACGTTACATAGTTTACTTTTTATTCTATCTGAAAAATTCAGTATGTATGCAGTGGTCGTGGTCGTGGTGAACGCACAAGATCAGCGCTTTTGATGCAAGAATTCATGGAGCGGATATTGAGAAAGGGGTCGTGAAAAAAGGACGATCCATTGAACTAGTGCCCGATCCATAGCTTTTGGCTCGTATCGATAGTTGATTTATCGACAAGAGCACGCATAAGAATGGACGAAATGTTCCAATTTGATATGACTTCGAACGCAGTTTGCGAATCTATACTGGCGACGGTGTTTCTGAGCCGTTTGTATTTACGACGACGAATTGGTAAAGTATGGATCGGACGCATTCAGCAGGACGGTTGTACGTAACGCACAGAAGGAAACGTTTCCGACCCCATAAAGTATATATATTCTTGATCAGCATCAATGGCCGAGTCGATTAAGCCATGTCTGTCTGTCCGTCTATCCGTCCTTATGAGGTTAGTACTCAGATAGCTTAAAAGATAGGGCAACAAAATTTTATATCCAGACTTCTGTTTGCTCACACTAATACAAGTGTGTTTTAAAAATGAGCCACGGCCCTTCCGCCCCCGCAAAATGGCGAAAACCTCCCAAAGGTACAATAAAGATAAAAGAAAACTAAAATCGCCATTCTGTAGGGGAATGGCCATAGAATTGGGGAATTGGCGTGAGAAGTGTTGTAGATGTAGATTTCAAATGAATGAAAAAATGTTAAATTTGACAAAAAACCGCTAAGGTACAGATGTATGTAGTATTGAGTACCGGGTATAAAAGTTGTGACGCTTAAGAAGCGTCTCACACGCCCCTTCTCTTTTTTATTGAGTATTTAATAATTAAATAAGAAACAATATCAAAAATATAATTTAACGTTACAAAGTTAACTTTTACTCCAACTTTTAAGTATGTAAGTAAAAACAAAATATTTTTACCTTTGGTGCCAAAAGCTAAAAGTGCGATTATCTTGAAAGTAAGATTCTCTATTGGACACATTTATTTGACTCTTTCAATCTCTTTTCGGCTAAGGCTCCCCGGTTCACCTATTTCAAATTCAATTTTGCAATATTCGGTAATTGTGGTATTAACATTCGATTCTCGAGATACTCAAAATAAATTGACTGTTGGTTTTTATAAAGGGCTCGCATTTAAACTTATTTCTCTTCCCAGTTTTTGACGAGAAGCTATTCGACGTAGCACCGCATGTCCCGCTCATGTGGGTCGTCTGTCGGAAATATCTGAAACCTGAAATTCGGTTAATACTAACAACTCACCTCCTCTAAAATATTGTGACTCAGTTCAAGCTTTGAAGTTGCTTGAAAATATCAACGTATTTAATGTATGACTAGGCAAACTGTTTTTGTTTTATTTTTATACCCGGTACTCAAAGAGTAAATATTTGTATTTGTGCGAATAACGGTTGTATGTAACGCACAGAAGGAAGCGTTCCCGACCCCATAAAGTATATATATTCTTGATCAGCATCAATAGCCGAGTCGATACAGCCATGTCTGTCTGTCCGTCCGTCCGTCTGTCCGTCTGTCCGTCTTGTTTGTCGGCTAGTTCTCAGAGACTATAAGAGCTGGAGCCACCAAATTTTGGCTCCGGACTGCTGTATGCTGACTGGACTGAAACCAGTGTATTTCAAAAATGAAATTCATTCTCTCATTCACACTCTGCTTCTGCTTCACTCGGCCCCTGCCTCTGCCCTCCCCCTGGCGAGGACTCTTCCGACTTATATTTTTTTTTTTTGTGTGAGGGCGCTGCCTCTGCCTCGAGTCTGCAGTGTTTGGGTCTAGGGAAGGGCGGCGAGCTAACGGAGCGTGTTGGTGTGAGAAGTGTTGTAGATGTAGATGACAGATGAAGAAAATATTTAAAATTTGACTAAACACCGCTAAGGTGCAGATGCACTATTGTCCCAATGACCAGTTTTGGTGACCAAAAGCTAATTTTTAAAAGGTAAAACCAAGACTCGGTTTTTAACGCTCTGTATTAGAAAAAGAGTGACCATCAAAGTTGCGTACAAGAAATTTTGATAGATGGCGCCACTTTCGAAAAATCTGATGTGCAGACCATTGGACCATTAAAGTTGCGTACAAGAAATTTTCATAGACGAAAAATCTGATGTGAAACATAGCGGTCATTATTGCACAGAATGTGCAGTGAAAAAGTACCAATTTTGTTTCTGTTTTAAATATCTCATAAATTGGAAAATACGATTAACTGATCCAATTTTTTTGATGCATTTTATTTAGTAGGCTTATTACTACGTGTTCTGTAATGTGAACGATATCTAGTGGTTGGCGATGTCCTCTACATCTAGATGTAGTCCTGAGTGCCGGTTATTAAAGTTGTGACGCGTAAGAAGCGTCTGACACGTCCCTTCTCGTTTTTATTATATTATTTTATTATTATATTCATATATAATTTTTTTTATTTTTGTTTCTTGTGTGGTTTTTATGTTGTCATTCTCTGGTCAGTTTCCCCTTTTTCTGACCATCAAATTTCACATTTCCCCTTCCTTTAACGAACAACCTAACACATACATCTAATTTTATTCGGCCGCCTCATTGAAAACACAAATCACGATTAGCACGGACTCATTTCCCATATTTAGGCAACATATGGAGAAAGAGAGAATGCGGCAAACCCTCCACAGTATGCAAAAATTTTATGCCACTTTGCCGCTGAAATCCTCCCATAAATTATTGCAACTAAACGCAGTCAAACAATGCTCCAGAGTCCTCGAAAATACCCAAAGTTATGTTGTTAGAAAGAGGATGATAGCTGGAAGTGCCTGGTGGTGACTGCTCTTCCAACTTAGACTCTTGGTACGGCGCCTGCTGCTGCTGCAGCTCTTCATTGTCCTGGAGATGGGCGCCAAATAGGGCCAGCCATAATGTGCATTAACAATGTCCGGCTCCAGCTACAGCTTCGCACCCGAGTGAGAGCTTTTCTGTCAGTAGACGATAAGGAGCGTTGACTGCAGTATCTCTCGTGCGGACACCAGTTGCTCTCTTTGTCTCTGCTCCTGTGTCTGACTCTACTCCGCTGCAGCTCCATGCTCCTTCTGTTCTCCTTTGTTTTGGCATTGTCTGGGATAGCTTTTGGCCAATAAAATGCACTCCATTCGCATGCAAAACCAAAACGATAAAAAGCGCGTCGCCATTGAGAACGCTTCTAAGCAGCCGTCCGCCCCCCGGGGTCCACGACACACACCCATCCCCGTCCAAGGGAACCAAGCATTGTCTCCGCCATTGGTCCAAAGGCGGCGTCAGAGAAAAGGCATCGACATGCGCGCAGGCACAAGGGTGGAGCGGGGTCCAGGTGGGGGACTCCGCGCTGGAGCGCTGCCATTTTTATTGTTGTGTGACTTTCGCTGAGCGAGAGGGGAAGAGAAATGGTTGTAGCCGCCAAATGCGTTTCCTATTTAACATTTGTACTGTTGAATGTTGAATGGAGTGGCGGGTGAGGGTGCGGGTGCGGGTGCGGGTTTCGGATAAAAGTGTGAGGACTCGAAACTCTCCAAAAGCAACGACTTTTTGGAGAGCAACGCCTGCGCAAAGAAACTCAATGAAGAGGAAACTTTGTTATGGCTCAAAATGCATTATTTCTGAAAAGTGCCTGAAAACTGAAAGCCAATGTCGATCAGTTGAAAGCCGATTAATCACTATTTGTGTACCACAGTACGCTCTAGTCAGTTAACATTACAACACAAATAGATGTAGGCCCACACAAATTCTCAGTACTCGGCACGGGAGCTCCCTTAATTCAACATTTGAGTTGCCGAAATCCCGATTATAAAGGGGGTCATTTATAAGGAGTTTCTTCGGCATGTCCGTTCTTGCGGCTTTTGGATAGTATTTTACAACTTAAGGTTGAAATTATCCAGAAACGCGTATTGGAACAGTAACAACAACTGGATGGAGAATTTCCTGTGCAATTTGGGTGACAAACAGGGAAGGCAGTGATCGTGAACCTTCCCCAGTCAACAATGAGGGGCAGCCTTACTCAAATATCGGCTTCAGGAAGGTTTGTGGCAAACAAAAATACACAAACGACTATATACGGGTACGTGGGACCCAATCGATCGATTGTGGGAGCAAACACGGCTCGTCATTGATAATGAACCAAGACAATTTTAGCCTCAGAGATAATCGTGTGCTAAACCACAGGCGACTGCAAGATATGTACCTCCCACTCAAAGTGTTTAAGTCGAATTGCTCGGTGGATACCATATTTAGTGGTTTGAAATGGTTTTCTCAATTTACGCGAGCAATCCTCTAAGAAGTAGATTTCGAGTATACCCCTTAGCTTTCGGAGTACCTGGCATCGTAAGACAATTGGCGGCAAGCCCAAGACACAGATACAAAATGCAGATACAACGATAAAAAGCGCGGCAGCAGCGGAATTCTTATCAATTAACCGCCTCTTTGACGCGTCGACACTGCATCCTTTTTGCTGGCGTCCGACCGTCCACACGAATGTGTAAAAACTCTACAAAGCACTCTCTCTCTCTCTCTCTCTGTGTCTAGCTCTCTATCGACGACTCTTCTAGCTCTTGTTCCCTCCATCTTTCTCACACACCCACACAGCCAGGTTCGTTCTCTTTCTCTCACCCACTCACTCGGTCCTGTCTTTGGCCAACCGAACATGCAACCACTACAAACGCACTCACACTCACACATAAGCACACACACCCCTCTGGCACTGCCACTGCCACTGCCGCGCCGTTGCCTTTTCCGCTTCTTCTTTCCCATCTTTTTTTGTTGTGTTTGTTTGCCGTTTTTGTCGCAAGTTTTCGAATGCCCATAGAATGTGTTTTCAAATCAAAATTGTCGCGCACTCGACACGGACGCGCAGCGCTTCTTCGCTCGAAACGATAACCTGTAAACGGTTAACGGTTAACGGCTAACGCTTAACTATTCACTCTCACGGCCACCGGCTCGGTTTAAATCTGGCTTAAATTTCGCATACAACAAAAAATACTACTTTTGCGTACTATATTGTTTGTGAGTAGTGTTTGTGCAAAAAGCAATGTTACAACGATAATTATTGGTAACGATCATCTCTGAAATAAGGTAGTGGAGTACCATTCATCTAATGGAATACCCGTTGAACTTACCCTAAGCCTTATCCAAAACCTAACGTTCACCAAAACGGGATAAAGAAGATAACTAAATTTCAGTGAGGTAAGCAGATTTAAAGAATGTTTTGAATGTCAGAATCTTTATACCAGATGGAGTAACATTGAGCTTTACTATTTTAGGTCCTCCAGCTATATTAAACTCTCTTTCTTTCTCACTTAACTAAAAATTATTATTTGTGCTAGAAATAGCTAGATCTAAAGATCACTCAATGTAAGTGCATCTCATCGTAAATGATTTTACAGCGAATGTAAATTCCATTTTGAATTGATAGACTAAATGTAGTTTTTAATCAATTTAACCGATCAAACTTAAAATCGATCAAACTTGATCTGGCCTTGAAATGTTACAAGTAAGGATTCTCATTAGAACAAACACAATACCAAATCTTTAAATAACCGTTATAGTTTTTGAACAACAATCCGAAAACTAATACTGAATAAACTAAAACTGTGATAAAGTTCTATGTGGATTACTCATTGAGAAAATTATTACTTCGAACCCCTCCTCCGACATTTCTGATTTCTTTGAAAGAAACTCCATTCTGGTGTATTTTAAGAATTAACGCCCAGAAGTAGCGTCCCCCCTGAGAGGTTAAAATTACTCATGCGAGGACAGTTGAGGAACAGACAACCCCCTAGCTAACAAGGCATATCTATTGAATACCATTTCCGTTGGCATTGCAGAGCGCCCACCTGACAATTAGCAACTGCACGCACACGCGCCCCCACCGAATCATGACGAGCATCTCGACGCTACTGCACAGGAGCCACAGTAACGGGTACACGAGCAGCGGGAGCAGCAATCACAGCCACAGCAGTAGCCTCTCACCGCAGTTGCCCGGCCAGGGCCTGGGCCTGGGCCTGGGCATGGGCATGGGAATGGGAGTCGGCATGGGAGCCACCACAGCACCATCACCACCACCGCCAACTGACCTCACCATGCCGCCAGCAACTCCAGCTCCCTCTCCAACAGCCAAGCTGCAGCATCATCAGCAACATCATCATAGCCACCCCACCTCGAATTCCCATTCAAATTCTGGATCGCATCACAGCAGTCATGACCACATTAAGCGACCAATGAACGCTTTCATGGTGTGGTCGCGGGGACAGCGTCGCAAAATGGCCCAGGACAATCCCAAAATGCACAATTCCGAAATATCGAAGCGCCTCGGTGCCGAATGGAAATTGCTCACCGAAGGACAGAAGCGTCCATTTATCGACGAGGCAAAACGATTGCGGTAAGTACATTTCTCTCGGGCAGAGTCGCATGGGGGTAAGCATGGGAGTAGGAGTGCGAGTGAGAATGGGAGTGGAGTGTAGCTGCTGGCTGGGTTTCAGTTACAGTTTTTCCCTGTCTGGCCACAAAATTTGATCGATTAGCTAAGACAAAGCCTCACTATTGTGAGAGACCCCTTGCAATGTGGAGCTCCAGAGCCCCGTATTGTGCTCGCCCCGCTTAGTCAGAATCCCATTGGCACTGGGCATATCTTGGGCAAACATTTCATTTGAAATTGTCACACAAAAGCGAGACATGGCGCATGAAATGCTTCAATCATTTTGCATTTTTGATACATTTTTGTTCACTCTCTTAAAGCGTACCCTATCACCACAGAGTAAACTCTTTATGGGGGCACACATATTAAATAAATAATAATATTAATGTAAATGTTTACTATTCAATCTTAAGAGGCTTATTCACAGACTGAAAAAAAGGTAAGACCGATGTAAGTTTATGAGATAGTTATCTGAGAATCTTCCCTAAAAGCCCTTAAAGAGTTACTCTCCAAGAAAATATTACCGAAAATATTTCAGTTGAAACTGAAAATCCATTAAAAATGTAGACTGTTAACATCTAATTTTTATAGAACTACTCGTTTTACTGTTGGCTTCTTGGTTCGTAACAAACATTAGTTACCTTTCGAATGCTCTGCATTTTCGATGATATTGAGTTCGTGACACTGACATACCTCAATGTTTGTACTGTCATAATCCTTTTATTGATTGGAGTAGACTGCCAAAATGGTAATGTAAAATTTATATTTTGTGGCGACAGTTATAAATGAGGAGAGCTCGTTTGAAGGGGCTTAAACTAATGGCCATTCGGGGTTTTCGAGGGAACACATTGAAAGAAAGAATCAAATAATGTTGTTTAAATATTTGCCAATGCTCATTGATAAGGAAAACAATATTTTTTTTTCGGGAACAAGATAACGCAATGAAGGAGAACTGACCAATTAGAGAAGTGGCCGAGAAAAGAAAACTAAATAAAGGAACGGAGAGCGAAATCGAAAGTACAACAAGATGAAAAGAACACACCTTTTATCGGATTTTATCGTATTGTCCAACAAATGTCAACAATTGCGCATTGTTGCAGCTGGGACTGAGACTGGTAATGATAATGGAAAAGGTAGAGGTACAGGGAATCCGTGGGGTCTTCGCTAAATTCAGATAAGCAGACAAGCAAAGTCGTACATACGTGTGTACATCCGTATGTAGTTCTACTTTTATGGAAGGGTTCCATTTGTTTGGGAGTTTATGGCCAATGAGAGAGTGAACTCCGGCAGACATTTGGTTGACTTAGTGATATCATCGAAGTTTAAATCGTTCGATCTGTTGATCAATGCTCCAACGTTTATTCAATTTACAGCGCCCTGCACATGAAAGAACATCCCGACTACAAGTATCGACCACGTCGAAAGCCCAAGACACTCAACAAGTCCCCAGTTCCGGGCGGCGCAAATGGTGGGGGGGTCTCTGTTGGTTCTGGTGGTAATAACAGCAACTGCGGAACTCCTGGAGGCGTCTCTGGAGGATCGTCATCGTCCGTGACCAAGGACATGCAGCCACAGCTTTCGCCGCTGGGCCAGACGTTGCCCCATCTACATGGCCACCATCTGCATCACCACCACCTCACGCACTCGCACCACACGCACCACCAGCACGCCCATCCGCACCATGTCCAGCTGGCGGCCGCCGCAGCAGCCAACACCCTGAGCGCCAAGTACGGCTTTGGGTCCCCCCTGGAGCTCTCCCTACCCCGCCTGCCCAACGTCTTCCCTGGCCTCGCACACGCCCACTACCCACTGGACCCGACCCTGGCTCTCGATCTGCAGGCCCGCCTCCAGGCCATGTACGCCGGCAGCATCTACCATCCGTGGCGCTACCTGCCATTGATCAGCCCCGAGACTCCACCCTCCCCGCCCAGCAGCAGTGGCACTGGCATCTCGTCCTACGGCTGCGTAAAGTCGGCCAAATCTTCGCCAGTCGCAGGAGTTGTTCCCCCCAGCGTGGCGACCACACCGCCGAACATCATTTGACCGACTCCATTGCGCTTTGGCGCCGGCACTGCCGCTGAGCACGCGGTGTAAATCTGGAGGAGATCCCACTGATGGTAGAGTATACTGGCATCACATTCACCCACGGTCGGTCACCTTGCACCACCCAAAGCGAAAAAGTTTTCTTAGATCCTAGTGCTAGTTGAATCCTTGTGAGTTTTCCCTCGTCTTGACTGACCCCCAAGAAACTAATCCTATTAAATCTTTTAAATTGAATAAAATTAATTTATTTGTTATTATGGTCTATTTTGTTCAACTCTTTCTTTAGTAGCCACATAAATTATGCAACACTTCCTTTGTTGACTTTATAATAATTTTAAGCGCTGTTCATTTTTACAGAATTTTAAATTTCTTCTCAGATATGCACCCAGTCCAGTCCAAATCGAATTAATCTAATTACTCATTATTTGGAGCTCATAAAAACAAATATATTCAGAGCAAAACTAAGTTTACCCACTGATGAAAATGTGACTCACCCCACCCTAGCATAATATTCCTATTTGTTTGCATTTGTTTGCATTTACAATTCTTTCTGATCTTTCAAAATATTCTTACAAATTTCGAAAAGGCTTTGGTTTGAATTTTAATTTTGAATGCTTTAATTTGGTTGAGGCCCAAAGAATGCCCAAATGTTGTGTAACATAAACGTACATATTTATGTATTAGAACACAACAACATTATTTTATTGTGATAAAAAAACGAGTAAAACCCTAATTAAAAATCAAAGCTGTAAGGAAATAAATGGTTTTTGAATGGATTACACACATGATACATACTCGTACTTGTATCACGGACTTCCCTGATTGATGACTCCACACTTGTATGCTGTAGCTCTTCAGCGTGAACGAAACTGAGCGAGGACGAACATGCAATCTGTCAAGAGTCAGTGGCAAAAAGCGCCCGCGGGAGACACAGGCGCCTGAATAATAACGAAAATGTTTGCTGATGCGTTGATTATTAGTTTAAATTTCCGCAGCTCGCAGCGGGGAATGGATTGGATTGTCTGCCACATCGGGTGGGTGTGGACAGTGGCTCGGGATGGTTCACGGTCTGTTAATGGGATTCCCGTACGCCCACTTGTTAATGCGACCAACTGTGAATCCTCGGCGATGAGGCGTGTCAATAAATGCGCTCAGGCCCAAAAACAATTGACACTTTATTCGGTGGCACAACAAAACAAAGAAGCAACCACCACTAGGTCGAAGTGGCTACGGGGGTGAAAGTTTAGTTGGATGGGATGGGATGGGATGGGCTGGGCTGGATGGGAGGCAGGGAATTGCGACAACATCGTAACCAGCTGAAAAGCCGCACATAAAAGTCACCGAAATGCCACGCTGCAACGCAACCAAACTGCTGATAAGGAGGACCAAAGAAGAAGAAGACGACCTCTCCCAACCCACACACCCAACTCGGCCAGGTCCTCATCCCCATCCCGTAACCTCTCCCTGGCAGGCAAAAGTCGTGCAATGATTGTCTGCTGCCACAGACACAAGGCAGGGACAGAGCGAGAAAATAAGAGGGAGCCTGGAGGGTAGGTAGTGTCTGTCTTTCTGCCTTGTCTGTGTCTGTCTGTCTGCCTTTTGTTGCTCGCAAGGTCGTTTTTATAGTGTCCTGGCCTTAGTCCCACTCACTGATAGAATTCGAATACGCATTTTATGTTTGCATTCTGACCTCTCACCTCCGCAGACAAAGAACCGGGCAGCAGAGCAGCTTCCACACTGTCGCAAACACCATGGAATGCTAATAAAATATTTACCCAATGATATGGGGAGTTCTTGCAGCAACCCCCAAGAGAGCAATGAATGAAATCGTTTAACTGTGGGAACGTCCAGCATATTGAGATGTTTCCCCGAGATCATGCTGAGATAATTGAAGCTAATTGAATAACAAAATACTTTTTTCAGCGATGAACCCAAAAAGTAGGCAGCGTTCTATATTTATTGTATGTATCCTTTATACTTTACCATCGTCTTAAGGGACTTTATTTTTTAAGGGGGAGCTTAAACTGGAGCTCAATATTTGAAATATTTTTAATTTCTCAATCAAATTGAGCAATTCCAACTAGCTCCAATACTACTTATCTTGGACTCTTCTTATAAAGCCTTCTCCCAGCTTTGTCTTCTGCAGCAATTATCAAAATTTCATGGGTCAACTGCTCGGTTTGTCGCGTACCGCACTCCGTGGCAAAGTCAATAGCTATCAAAACTAACAGACACGCGTAGACACGTGCCACCAGTCGCCCACGTTATTCCACCCACAGTCAAGCCGTACCATACCATCACAGCAATCACTTGTTTCTAGACAAACATTGCAGACAGGCCGATAGCTTCAGTATCCGAAGCTCTAAACACCCTTTAAGATGCTTCGCTCCTAATTAAGTCATAAATTGCATGGCTGGATACGCTGCACATGTAAAGACCAAATGCGAATATCCTATGTTAGGGTATAATATAAACATTTGGGGGCGAGAAGGAGAGTAGAGCGAGAAACGTGTGAAATAAAAGTTTGTTTGATTTGCTTTGTGTTGACATTAGGGAAGGGGAAGAGCATGGAAAGAAGCACGGTAACAAAAGTAGCAATGAGCCAGGCGGGTATTCCCCTTCCCCATCCCTTTCCCTTTCCCAACCATTCCGTTCCTTTCCTTTTCCTGTCACTACACAAGGCAGGGAATTTTTTGTTTTATTTGGAAGGATGCTGGCAGCCCCTGCCCAACCACCATGGCTATCGCCCAGCGTACCCACTCCAGCACTCGAACACTTCAACCTTCCCCCCTCCGCCCTCTTTGCTATTTCTCTTGTGGCACACTCACATCCGCTCTGATAAAAAGAAATATTTTCTTTTGGCTTTCGACTTTTCTTTTTCCCCCAATTCTTCATTATTACTATATATACATATATTTATTTGCTGTACTTTTTCTTTCTTTGGCGATGTTCCCTCTCCACTCCACTCCACTCCACTCTCCTCTCATCACATCTCATCTCATCTCATTTCGTTTTAGTTCCCTTCATTCTGCTGACTGCTGTTTAAGGTGGCCCTGAGTGTCCGAGAGCCATTACGCAAAGGATATTGTGGGGCCATGAATCAATTGGGCAATGTCCACAGAAAAATAAATATGCCCGGAAATATGTTGAGGCGCCAAACCGATGACATTCCATTTGCATTTTCTTCTGTTGGAGGCTGTGGAAGGGGCCCATAACATAATCGCGTGTAATAAATTTTAATTTTTTAAGCATTTGTAAGCAGTTTTATCAACCTAACAAAGGGCGACAAAATATTTTTTAATGTCGAAAAAAAGCGAAAAAAGCAAAAAGGATATAAGATTAAGACGCCTGGGCCAAGTTGACATAAAAAAAACCACGTCAGGCAAATTAGCGACCTAGTGATGGGGGATGGGCGTGCGGCCCTCCCCTCACCAAGGAGGAGTCTGCCTGCCTGCCTGCGGTTTATCACGCCCACAGTGCGAACGTCGTCGCACGGATATCCGACTCATGGGAGACAAACAAAAAAGGCATTAAATCGCATTTAAGTCAAAGCGCCTGAGCAGCGACAAAGCCAAAATCCGAAAACGAAACTGAAGACAGAAACCAGAATCCACCACCTTCGGATCGGGCTCTGGCTTTGGCTTTGGCTACCGTTGTTCTGCTTTGCCGCTGTACAAGGACAACTGATACGTCTTGGGTGCTCACAATTCACTTGAGACAAGGATATGTCGTCGAGCTTATCACGGAGGGCTTGCTCAGGGCTGGGGGTTGATGAAAGCTCTCTTTAAATCCAAGAGACAATCGGATGGGGAGTGGATACACATAGACACCCAATTGGATATTTTTTGGTTATTTTGGATTGGGTTATTTGAAGAACAGCTTTTGATAAGTTCTAGATTATCTCACTGGCACACAACAGAGTGGTGAATCAAAGCCAGGTTCCACTTTGTTTTAAAACGTGAACTCTAATGCGATAAGAAGTCTGTACACAATCGAATAGCTTGGAAACCTGAAAGATTACTCAAGTCGCTTGTTTCCAAGCTAAATTGAAACTCACTTACACATAAATATGTGGAAGTGTGCACCTAAATATGTATACTCTATTGGAACTGGCAGTAGGGATATGTACATATGTTTATGTATATAATCCATCGATTGATCCGTAAGGACCGGCAGGAAGGAACTCAAAAAAGACTCCAAAAAGCGATTGAGAATAGTGGGTTTTATCCCCGAAGAGAATAAAATTGCATACTGAAATAATGCAAATTGTTGCGCAGTTAATGGCATTACCATGCAGACCAGCGTGTCCACGGCCAGGAGCAATTAAAAAGAGCACCAGCTGGTGTCCGTGGGGCGGTGAGAGTTGGGCGGTCCGGTCTCATAAATGCTGGAGCGGAACAATGACGGAATGTTTTTTTAACGGAGCTTACACAAGCGAACAAAAATAGGAGGCTGCAACGCAGGAGCCCCGGACGAGTGGGCAGCACAAAGGAGCAATTAATGCGAAATTGTAGCTGCATAATTGCTGAACATGCAGCCGAGTCGGCCGCGTTATAAAGAAGCAATTACTGCCGCACAAATGCGCTTGGCATGCACAAAAGTGGCGATTCGAAAAAAGTGCAAAGCGTAAAGTGCAGCTGGGGTAAATGGAAGGCGCCTTTTACCGGCCATTTGCTGTCCGAGATGAATACAGCTGGCAAACAATTGCAATTACATTAGAAAAGGCAGAACAGTTGGAGAATCAGGAGCGGTAGCATGAGCGGCAGCAACAATGACATCAGTTAGGACAAGCCACGGCCACCCACGTAGTGCGCTCGGCTTCCGTTGCATGCCAGGCACGTTGCAAAATTGTCGCAGCGCAGAGTCCCCACAAAAAAATTGTCCATAAAAATGCTCGCCACACACAAAAGCCGGGGCCAAACGAATTGCCAATTTAAATGTGAATAGAAAATTGCAATGACGCAGCCCCATCAACCATAGAGGTCTGCCATTCCTTTATGCATCTTTTCACAATCGCCAATCACTCACTTGCACAAACAATGGCCACATGCCACATGCCACCCAGTAGCAGGGAGTCTTACCAAACTTTACTCCACAAAAATGCACAAACATTTCACACCAAGTTCTCCACATTCTCGCGCTTTAACCCCATCGATCACATAGAAATTGTAAAACTTTGCAGAAACTTAACACAATCCCAGATCAAACAAATAATTCCTTCCAGCTTGTATTTGTACAAGTGATTCTAAGCAAA